TACCCATAATTGGATGTAATTTTTTTACTACAAATGTTCCAATTAAATTCTTGAAAAAGTTATCATGAGATAAAATTACTTAATGCTAATTTGTTTTACCCGTGTTTTGCGCATATTATACTAGGTAAACATGATAAAAATAGTAAAAAAATAAGAAAATAACATTTAATCCCTTACACCTTCATAGATGATATAGTCTGCAAGTAAAAATTTTTTAACGTTTAAATACAAAATATTCATCGTTAAATTTGGTAATTAATATTTATCGGTTATATTAGCAACTTTTAACACCTTTTAGTCTATCACCAATTTGTTTACAATTTACGTGATAAGATCCATATTTATTTTATTATTTAAAGCATGTTTGTATCAACATTATTTATGGTTGAATGTGGAATGTAAGCAACAAGTAGTTGCTTTTGCATTAATTTTGATATGATTTTTATTTAAAAGTAGATCATGGATGTGAAAATAAAAATGCACTTAACCTTTATATATGTTTTTTTTAGGTTTATATATTTTCCTTTTTCTCGATTAAAATCCACGAGTCCATAAATATTGGGTCGTATTTATAATATATATTAAATTATACTTTTGATTATTTATTTTATTTTTTAGATTTATTTTAATTTTTTATCTGTTAAAATATTTATTTTAATCTTTTATCTTTTATATTTGGATTAATTTATTCCTTTTCAAACAATAATATTTTTTAATTTTGTTATATAATTTTAAATTAATTTTTGATTAATTTGAGAAGTGAAATTCATAATAATAAAGTAAACTATATAAAAATTATAATATTAAATTGACAAGGGACATTAAAATACCACCAGTTGAAAGAAAATATATGGAAGAGAGATCCCTGAGCCACAAACTAGGCAGATCAATCAACACTGCACCAATGGTCCGAAGCTGTGATGTAGATAATTTTGCCAATTGCAGCTTCAGATGTGTCCCCCAGAAGACTCTGGCCAAGTTGTCAAGCAATGAGATGGTGTAGGAAACCAGGGCCATGAAGATCTCCACGTAGATGAAAGTTGTAGTTATTAGGAATCTTCCGTTTGCCCCAAATGCACGATCCCCAGTGTCCACGTAACTTGTTAACTTGGTGTTCTTTTCTAGGCATGTTCCAAGCAAATGAGAACTATAAGCACACATCACACCAAGTCCTATGAACAAAAATATGCAGATGCACACCCTCCTTGCTCTAGAGCATATGGAGTTGATAATTGCCCCAGACCTGCAACATATATATGTTAAATGATAGAACATGTTAATATAAAATTACTCTTAAGGAGACCGACTCCAATATCTTAGTTAATTGCTACATGGAGATTGAACATGCTCATATATTCAATAAAATGATGAAATTAAATTTAACTAACTATTAAAGCTAAAGGACACATTGAAATATATATTCAGTCAAAATGTATGCAAGCAATATGCAAACTTTACCTATGACCAAATGGCAAGGTTCAATAGTTTAGGAAAAGCAACAACAACTCAAGCAAGGTTCAATAAGATGCTTGCCGAGACTTGCTATAACCAAATGGCATGAAAGGTGTGTATTTATAGTTGAATAAATACTCAGCGACATGGTGTCGGCCATTCGATAGAATCTTCTGAGAAAATAATGTTGCATATACGTGAGAATATTTCAAAAGAAGTCTTACATTATGTACACTTAATAAACCTTAAGTGTATGTTTATCTATCCGAGTGTTCTTTACACTTTCAAAGAGACAAACAAGAGGTGGAGGGCTTTTATCCATGAGAATGGGTCTTATTGGCTAATTAAAGAGCAAATCCACTGCATCTGCCTATATAAAGCGGCCTCCATCTCACTGTTTTACACTTTTATCATACTTATTAGGTTCTCTTATACTTTAAACTCTTGTCACTGTTTCAAGTTGTCTTATCATTTTAACAAAAAATAATACTTTCACTTTTTTTGTTTTTTTTTTTGCAATGTAATGGAGTTTGATTTAATACTCTAAATTGGAGTATCAAATTGCTAGATGCAATGTTACATTAGTTAAATGTAACCAAAAATAATTTCTTTAATTACAAAGGGAAATATATGATGGGTGAACTGCTGCAGTGAGGGTCAGAGATTCAGATGTTCCATTCTTAAATTTGAACATAAAACACTATCAAAGCTTTGGGCTAGAAGCAACGGTGTCCGAATTTGAAGTCATTTTTGTTGCACATATATATGATATTTCAAAAGGAAATAGTCTCACATTGCTTGGTTCACCCAAATGTAGAGTCTTTATATATTAAAGTGCTCCTTACACTTCCAAAGAGGTAACAATGAGTGGTGAGCTTGTCCATGTAAAAATAGGCCTTATAAGCTCATTGTAATTCAAATCTGTTAATTTACCCCTTAATGTGTGTGATATTGAGATATGGAAATATTTTGGTTACATTAAATTTTTCTTAAAATTAATTAATGCACAAATTTCTAACTCATCTTACTTATGCCATTCCAAGATACAATTCATACTTGATTATAATGTGAATACCTTATTAACCCAACTCATTCATAATAATATAGTTTAAATTTAAGCTTAGTGATTGTGTCGTGTTATTTTTTACTCTAGCAGTGGGAGGAGATAGTTTTTTCTTTATTGTCCCATGTATCATCTGACTTAGTGTCAGAGAGACACAAATCCTTCCAAGTAAAAAATTAATTTAAAAGATCCACCTCTTTTATATGTATTTCTTTTCATATATTAACACGTGAAAATCCAACACTTAAAAGAATAAAGAATAAGTATCATCATTTATTTGTTATTGTTATTATATACATAAAAGGATAACTTGATTGATCCACATAATGATTAAGTATTATGTTTTTACAGCTCACATAGTATATGAATGATCTATTTAACAAAAAAAACTTTTGTTTAATTTTTATTGTGTAAAAATTCACTAGATTAGTAGTAGTTGTAGTACTATGAATGAGATTAGTCTATAATTTAATAGGTTGAAAAATATTTGTTATAGGACCAAAAAAATATACATGTAAGGATAAGTTTATATAAGTTGAGTTAATTTAATTTATAAAATTATTGAAGGAATAAAATAGTGACTTTTATTTATTTATTTTGCATTATTTTTAGAAATTGTGATGTAGATAAATAAAGGTATTGCCCTACAGTGAAAAACATTTGCTTTACGAAATGCATACCAGAAGCTCAACTCTCTTATCAGTAAAAATTTATAATCAATCGTCTCATAATCAAATAATTAGATAAATTATTCATTTAGAGAATGTGTGAGAAGTATTTTTACCCATCATTTTAGTTGTCTTTAAAGAAAAAAATTGTTTGCAAAAAAATAAAATAAAATTAGATGATTAGAATATCACTTTAAATTTGTAAACAATTTTTCCCTGAAAAATAAGTTTTTTATTTGAATATTTAAAATTTATTATTATTTTTCAACCAATTTTTTTCTCCTACAATAGATAAAATTAAGCTGATTTTTTTATTATATCTAAATGCAAAAAATATCTCAAAATCACTTTTTAATATTCTAATTATAATTAATTATAACAATAAATTAATTATTAAAATAATATAAGGTTCACAGTTTCCCCAAGCACAATTTCTTCTAACTGCTAAAGTTCAACTTCTAATATACTTCATTCAACTTATAATTTAAATAATCTTTTGAGATTCAAATTCTCTCTCGCTAAATATTTATGAAAAATGATACATCTCTAAAACTAAGACTTCGAAACATCTTTGGACGAGTGTATCAGTTAACAAGCTAGATATAAATAATTATTTTAAAGTGTATTAGTTAACAATCGTTAATTTTTTATGCTTTCGGAGGAAGTGTCGACCACTTCTTTAAGAAGCAATTGCATCTCTCATCTAGCACCATCCGGTAAACCTTGAACCCTCAAGTAATAATTGCAACATAGTATTGAAAAAAAGAGAAAATTTGATTAATGGTTTAGATTTTTGTAAGAGTGAAAATATGTTGGAGAAAAATTGATTAATGGTTAATTTCTTTATATTCTTTTACTTATATTACTAGTATTTTAGTCTAAATATTTATTATATGTAACTATTACCTATAACAAATATATACCAATAAATATTATATTTAAATCTGTATAAATATATATTTTTAATCTTATAAATTTATATTTTGAATTTAAGATAAATATTTTATATTATAATATAAGATTATTTTTAGTTATTGATAATTTATTTTAAAATATTAAAATTTAATTATAAATAAAAAATTAAATTAGTTAAGAAATTATAAAAATCTATAAAAATACTTCTGTAAAAAAAAATAACACCTAAAAAGAAAGTTGTTGGAATGTAAAATATTCAGTAATTAAGAGTTAAAAGTAATAAAAGGTATTCTTTAACAAATTTCAATATAATTTGTATATATATTTTAATTTAAAAAATAGCAAATTAGCTTAGAAAAAACGTTTTCCCGCCAATTTTGGTCTAGGGTCAAATTATTTGGCGTGGATTCGGAACCGTGAAGCAATTCCAACGCTCACTCGACACCCTCGCCGCTTGTGACTGTCGCTGAGAGAAGAAACTTCACTTCAATAATACATTCGTTTCTTAAATCTAACATATATACAGGGAGCAGCAGACATAGTAAGATTATCCAAAACCCTAAACACGAAGACAGAGGGGATATGAAGCAGATCTCTTGAATTCGAAGTAGCAGAAGACAATGAAAGCATAAAGACGAAGAAATTAGACCTTGGAGGCGGTCGATGGCGAAGGACACGAAATCCTCGAGCCTGCCTTCGAGCGCTGGGACGGAGCGACAATTTCTTCGTTTTTATGCTTTCATTGTCTTCTGCTACTTCGAATTCAAGAGATCTGCTCTATCGCTCCGTCCCAGCGCTCGAAGGCAGGCTCGAGGATTTCGTGTCCTTCGCCATCGACCGCCTCCAAGGTCTAATTTCTTCGTCTTTATGCTTTCATTGTCTTCTGCTACTTCGAATTCAAGAGATCTGCTTCATATCCCCTCTGTCTTCGTGCTTAGGGTTTTGGATAATCTTCTATGCTTTTAACTGTCTCTGCTGCTCCCTGTATATATGTTAGATTTAAGAAACGAATGTATTATTGAAGTGAAGCCTGAAATCTGCAAGTGATTTGTGTTTTTATAGTGTATTAAATTAGTCGCAAAATTGTGTGTGTTTGCATGCGTTTCTTCGCATTTTTCAAGTTTTGTAGTTCGTTTTTTATGGATATTAATATTTTGTTGCAGTTCTCAAGGGGATTTCTGATGGTTTGTCGCGGGGAAAGAAACCTGACGAAATGGAAAATTTGGTAAAATGCTGGATCTGATGATGTTGATTTGTTAGTTTTTCACTGTCTGATGGGTTGTTTCTATGTGAACCTTTTTTGTACAGGTAAAGGACCTGTGGAAAGTGAATATGAGACACCAACACGCATCTGAGGTTCCAAACAAGGATATTATATCTCATTTTGTTCTTCGTTTGGTGTATTGCAGAACGTAAGAGCTCTCCCTCTTTCTCTCTCTCTCTCTCTTATGCCTTACTATTTTACTGTTGTTCCTTGCTATTGAAAAGAGTCCTCAGTTGTTTGACAAATAAAGCCTGATCAAAATAAATGGAAGATTACTAAAATTGAATAATTTGGTAATGATGATATTGAGAGTTTAAGACCGGTGACACCAATTACATGCATTGATCAGATTTTGTACTTATGCATTAATCCTGAATGATGCTTGGCCTGGACCAAAGCAAGGAAAAAATTCGGATTAGTGAAGTCATAAGAAAACCTAATTATGTTTCTAAATTATTCCATATATACTAAAATTCATAATGCCTGTTTTCCCAGGGAGGACCTGAGGAAATGGTTTCTTTCTATGGAATCTGCACTCTTTCGATACCGTTTTCGTCTTCTGAATGCTGAAGCTCAGGTAAAATCTGCCCATACTATATTGTTTTTGTATTTCAATTTAGGTTCTTACTCATCATAAACTTTTCTTATGAGTGCACAGAGGGCAGTCATGGATGAATTTGACCTTCCTTACAGGGCTGTTAGCAATGTGGAATTTGAGGTAGTCACATGTCATTTGTTATAATTGATTTGCTTTTGACTATTGTATCTAAATGTTTCTTAGAAGGTGATTTTTGCAAAAGTAATTTAGTTCTGATACCTTAGTACCTAAAGAAATGACAATTCTGTTTTCCAGAGCATAAAAGAGAAATTGGGACAAGTTGCACGTTCTATGGGTCAGCCTTCACCCACTGGTAGGAGCACATTGCTTTCTTTTTTCAATGACCAATTACCATATTGGTATCGATCAGCAGAAATGATTTGCATGCACCTTGCTAGATTATCTTTTTGAATGAATAGGAATATAACTAGTTGTTGCTACCTAAGAGCTAAATCACATCTTTCCTTCTGCTTTTTTTAGTATTTGTTTAGTATCTAAATCCACTACTAAGCTATCAGTTGCATGGGTTAATTTATTAAAAAATAGAGATCTTGGGTTTTTCAAGTGGAATATTTGCACTGCTATTCTACATGAAAAAGAAAAAAAATCTTTTGAAACTTGTGCCTCAATTTTCTTGGTGTTTTATTTCCCCGATTTTGATTACTTTTTCAAATCTAATGAGCCTATATTTTGCTTTGCTTCTTTTACTTTTTTTTGCAGTTGATGCTATCTTCTACAAGGTATGTTTTATTTTTTACTTATTTCTTCCATGCACATGGTGACAGGATTATTAACATAACCGCAGTTCTACTGTAAATATTAACTCTGACGTTTTTAAATATTTCTTATCCTTCTCTGTAGAAAATTGGTTCTCTTATTCAGTAAAAATATTGAATTCTACTGATTCCTCCTTGTTCACAAAAAGAAAAAAGATAGTACTTACTAATTAAAACAGGTTTGAATCTATCAGAAAAACTGTTGGGAAATAGTAATTAATTATCCTTGGGTCTCTTTGTGATTCTCAAGAGCTCATATGTGTGTGTGGTGAAGGTGGTGGAAAACTTTTTAGAGACCATCAGAGATCTAGAGCTCTGGAAACCATACTGAATTCAGAGGAAAAACAGAGAAAGAAAGTAAAGGATTTGAAAGAATGTGGTTTATTGAATTGCCATAGTTTCTGTTACAGGGTGTAGTATTATACAAGCAACTGACTGATAATTAACTCCTAAAGTTAGTTATGCCAGCTGAAACTATTTGTTCTATTACAATACAAACATAGGGATAGTGATAAGGAGAGTGGGTTCAAATCTCCCTAGCTAACATAACTCTCTAATTACTAACATTTGCTGATAAAAAAAAATGCTAACTCAGTCATACACTCACAAGGCATGAATGATTTCTGGGCACCAGTTTAATGGGAAGTATAAGGAAGTAGTGATATGTTAATACTTGTATCATTTTTTGTAATTTTCAAAAGGTTGTTTATATGTGAGTGGAGTATTGGAGGATATCTTCTTTCAATGCATTTTTTATCTCTCTTGTCACCTTTTCCTAAAACATAACAAATTATTGTATTCAATTGTATCCAATAGATAAGATCGAATAATCTTGTGGGGGAAAGCTCTCAATAATGAATGGGGTGGCAATTTAGGCATTCTTAGGCTTCTTACTTTCCATGTTACATCATATGTCACTGTTATCTAACATTCTCCCTCAGGTTTTGGGTTACAACTTACAACATCTGTATATCTTTTCTTTCATTCCCATATAGGTACCATTTGAAGAAGTTCCAGAGCTTGTTGCTGGACGGAAAGTGTTTATAAATCAAGGATATGCATATGTTGCAATGAATCAGGTTGACAAGTGTAATTACATTCTATTTATTCTTGCTTTGAACTCAAATTATTTGTTACAGTAAATATTGTGTTTCAATTTTGCCTCTTTTCTAGATTGTTTCACTTGTAGCCACACTATTCCGCAGTCAGCTGTCAAAGACACTCATCCTTACTAACAGGTTTCATTGGTCATTTGAAGTCATCTCAATAAATTTTCTCATATAAACTCTCAATTTTATTTCTTTAAATGCAATTTTGGGATTTAAGATTCTTAGAGTTTCATCTAATTGTTGCAGAAAATGGACATCTTCAATTAGAGAACAAGAAAAACATAGGTGGACTCCTGTAAGTGTGGTGTACTCTTTGTATATCAATAGATCCTTTCTTTGTTAAAAAAGTTGATTAGCATTCTATGTAGATTGTGGAAGCCCTATGCTCAAGTGATCTGGGTCCTGATTATTCTCAGGTAATTCAAAGCAGTATATTCATTTATTTATTTCTAGTATTAGGCATTTATGTGATGTTGGATTGACAATGGTCACTTTGATTTAAAATTTCTGCAGTCAAGAGAATATGGTGATATGTCATTAAAGGACATTGATCAAGTTGCCAAGAGCTCATTTCCTTTGTGCATGCGTCACCTATTTGATAAGGTTTGAGATTGGAATAAATAATGCCCATTTTTTTCTTCCCCCTTGATTCATCTGTAATTCCTTTCTTATCTTTTATCTTGTTCAGAGTCCTTATATTATTTGTCAGTTTTGTCTCACATCTCCTGGTTTACCACTTTTTATGCAGCTGAGGGAGGATCATCATTTAAAGCATGGAGGGAGGATGCAACTAGGCCTCTTTCTCAAGGTTGCTTTTGGCTGCCTTCTGGGCATAATTAAAAATACTCTAGAGTCTAGATGGTTAATAAGTTTGAGGTGTTAAATGAGGCTTTACATTTCACATGCGTTGGGGATGGGAAAATTATTGCCTCGAATTATCCTGACAGTTGAAGACTTGAAGTTACTTTCTTTAGTTTTAAGTTAATTAACGAGATATAAGTGGAAATAACCTTATGTTGAAAAATTAAAATTTATGCTTTTTATACCTATAAATTTATGATACCCCGAGTCCGAATTTATGTCAGTCCAAAGCCGGTCTAACATTCTTAAGCCTAAATAACTTTTGATGTGAGGCTTTTATAAAATTAATAAAAGTAATAGACAAATTAAAGGCCTTTAGAATATATAAATAATATTTTCCTCAATAATATTAGAACTCTATTTATCACGAACAACTAATAGAATTCCAATACTATATAATCTTTTTTTGGAGGCCAATACTTTAAGCTTGGATTGGCCTTGCGTTAGTCTTCCACACTTTGACTCGGTTCATTTGGGTAGAAATGGCACAATTCTCGGGTTTATGGTCATATGATTATGCTGGGTTCGAATATCGGTGCTTATTTGTAGCATTGTCAAAATAATACATTTTGATTCACTTTCATTCTGATGGAGAATATCAATGAGAAGTCTTCTAATTCCGTTTACTTATAATTACCCCCCGGTCTTCTTTGTTATCTTATCTTTTGTTCTTTTCTCCACAATGTAAGTAGGGTGTTGGCTTGAATTTGGATGATGCACTTGCGTTTTGGAGGGCGGAGTTCTCTAAAAAGGTAACGTACAATTCTTGTACATTATCAATTATGGAAAGTAAATTCTGGCAATTCCTTCAGATTTTAAAGTTAAATATGTGCAATTACATGTTTTCAGTTACATGAATGGTGAGTTTGAATCACAGCAGTTTTCAAGTTTGATATTTTTTGCACATTATTTCATAATACTTTTAAATCGTTCTGAATCTGTATACCTGTGTCTATTCAATTTATTCCATCTCTCTAGACATCTTGGTATACAGTCTTTGAGAAGGTATTCTTTAGGCTGCTTTCTTTGCATTAATAATTAATCAAATGTAAGGGTCTTATTGTAGGTTGGTTTGGAGAAGTTTGAGAAACAATATGCGTACAGCATACGCCATAATTATGGAAAGGAAGGGAAGAGAACTGTAAGTTTTAAACTCTTCCACTGATTTATGGGACATTTCAAATATATTTCCGTTGCTGATAACTTGTGTTATTGCCATTTTCCAGTTTGAAACTAGGCTTTGAAACAGTTTCAGTGTTTCTAACTTTGTCATTATAATGCATGCATATGACGAGTTTCAATAAGAAATTTTTTGATTGATGTTACAGGATTATACTCCCTATTCTTGTCTAAAGATTATTTCATCTACTCCCGGAGCTGGAGATCATCATGGTTGCCCCTATCGACATTTCAGGTCACTCTTAATACGTGTGCTATCAAATGTATAGTTTAGCGTTCAGAATTGGATATCTGAAATGGATGCTTTTGTCCAGTAATTTTTACTTGATAAATGTCTTAATAGAATTATAACTCTGCCTTTGTGAAGACTATAGTTTGTATTGAAATTGTGATGGGAACCAGGCAGATTCTTGGTCCACAAACCAGCCAAGCTACACATTTGGAAGATGTACAATAGCAGTAGAAAATGGCTGGAGTAACTGCTGGATGGCAGTTATAAATAGAAAATAACTAGTAAAAACTTCTGTATTAGGAGCATATTGATAGTAGGACACTGCCTGATGGCGGTTATTCATAGAAAATAACTACTAACAGTATGTATTAAGAGTATAACTGATATAAAGGCAAGTACTTAGGCAAGTGTGTTATAGTTTGTAGTTTGTGGACAGAGTGCTCTGTTGGAGAGTTTTGTCTCTGGGGCAGCAACTATAGTATTATATTTATTAATCTATAAATTGTTATCAAACCCCTAAGCAATAAATTGTTATTACAAATGGTCTCTCTATTTGCGTGAGTGGATATTTCCTCTCCAGCTCCTGCATCTGCAGCAGCCAAAAAACAGGAGTGAGAAAGAGAGAAAGGGTGCTGGACTGGAGAGGAGTGTGGGTAGATTGTACCACAGGGAGTAATACAATTTAAAGTGTTATTATTTATTAATTTTTTTAATTATCATTGGAAATGCTCATTCTGTTTTCCAGACTCCTTCCTTGACATCATTTTTCTTTTATTTATTATTATGGACTTGACTTGAGATTTAATTGGCGCCGTTTGACTTTAATAGTGAAGAGAATCTAAGAGCTGCTCTCAGTAGAATGGGGGTAAACAGTCGATCAATGGAAGATGTGATAGACAAAGTGAGAAATAGACATTATCAGGTAGGTATTGCACAACTTGCTGAAAAATAATCAATTTCAACCTTTGGATTTGATATCTGATTATATGGATAACGTTTGTGCAGTTGGCTTGCACCTTAACATTTGAAGCTCTTCATGGCATGCCGTGTGATGCAGGGATTAACCATCCAAATCAATACTTCAGTGACAGTAAAAAGATATTACAGTCTAAGGTAGGCTACAATTTACAAATTGTGATTCAAATCAATACTTGAGTTGCAGCTGTAATCACAATTACAAACTAGCTAGGTTAGGGATATGATGCGTTGTCTTTATTATTTTATTTTCATAATATAGGCCACAAGTGTAATCTGCTATATGCCTACTTGTCGCCGGCATTATAAATTTGCTTAATATTAAGTTAATATTAATGTATATGGAAAAGAATACATTAATTAATCATGGACAGTGAAAGGCGACTTGAATTAAACTAAAATAATAAGCGACTATTTTTTTCGGGGCATATCCTGGATAGATCACAAGTCGCAAAGTCCCACCTAATCCTGATGTTACATGAATGATGGCAAGATTATATACACGGAAATAAATGTTAGCAATATGTATATAGCAATGCAAATAGACGCGTGTTCTGGTTGAAAACAACTTTTTTTGTTCTTGCCTTTCAACATGCTAAACCTAAAACATGATATGTTTAATGTCAAAATATAACAATTGCCACCCACGGTTTAGAAGGGAGGTGGTCAATCTCGCATGCGCTTGTTATTATCCCCAAGAGTTCTGCAATATCCCTTGGTTAGTCAGTTTCCAAGCGTTTTGCAGGATGTATATAATTCCCACAGTACATACAGCATTATACACTGTAAATAATACTCCTGTGTGACTTTGCTGACCAGAATACCTTGTAATCTGCTCTATGCCTACTCACCTAATGTGATATTTATTCATCATTATTATTATTTTTTAATGCAGAAGGATTCTTCAGCCTAGAGAATTTTGGTTATTGCAGAAGACTGGTTCTGGGGCCCATCTCAGGTTGACTTTTGAGCCTTCTGTTTTCTTTTTCTAACATTCTTTTCTGTATCTTTTGCTAATTCCTTCTGGTTGTGTTCAAAACTATGCTAATTATTTTTGTAAACCGAAATATGTTGACATTCATTAAAATATATTGGTAAAATAACGATATCGAGTTCTTTGAATAAAATACTGAAGTATGTATTCCACTATTTCTTGCTGCACCTTTACTGATGTTATTTCAGATTCCTAAAATCTATCATTGTAAACATTTTAAATTTCATGTAATTGAATCATACTTGAACGCAACTATCTATTATGCATCCTAAACCTATTACCATAGGAGAATACATACATTTTCTTGATGTCAAGTTAAAAGGCATTTCCCTTTGTTAGTGGCTAACTATTTCTTTTAAACCATATAGGCGTGGGTTGGTGCCTCTAGTCATGGATTTGCAGAGCAGACAATGGTAAAATATTTTATGTAGCTTCCAAAGCAGTTCAAAGGCGGGAGTTGGTATTCGAGTCATTATTATCCTACAAGTCTGGTTGAAAATCTGGCACGATTGGATATTAACTTTGTAGTATATTCCTCTTTGTAGCCAAAACGCATGCATGTAACCTGCCCTAAGTTAATTCTGGTATGTGTAAAATGCAAAGCGTTGTTGCACATTATGTGAGGAAACTGTACAGTATAAAAATGACATTTATGAGGGTGATAATTTATATAGAATATTGGTTGTAAACAGAGGTGTGGGAACCTTTCAAAGAAAGATGTGCAGTTGGCTTTTGATATGGGTTATATGTAGGGGTGGGCAAAACGAACTCAACTAAACTGAACTTATAAAAACTATACTGAATTTAAAAGTAGTTCATATGAACTGAACTAAACTAAACATTAGTTCAGACAAACTGAACTGAACTATTCTTTTGTGTCATTGAACTGAACTGAACTGTACTATAAAAACTTGAATTGAACTACAATTTAAATTGCACTAAACTGTTATGATATTTTGAATTGAACAATTTTGACTCATTGATCTATCAAAATAGGATACATTTGCCAACTTTACTTTATTTTCTATTTTATTTAAATTTTTCAAAGGAAAAAATATAAAATTAAGTCAAACAAACTCAGTAAATTTTAAGCCTAAAAATAAGTAGTTCAACATAGCTCAATTGATCCGTTAAGTTCGACAAAATTGATACAATTTTTTTTCAGATCACTTTTTTTTAAGTTTTGGTTATTAGACTATCGAGTTAATCCATTAAGACATAATATGTTAAACACATTTAATTTTTATAGTTCAGTTCAGTTTTTATAGTTTAGTACAGTTCAACTTTATAACAGTTCAGTTCAGTTTTTTTTTAAACAGTTCAGTTCAGTTTTTTTACAAACAGTTCAGTTTTTTATAGTACAGTTCACCACCAGTTCAGTTCAGTTCAGTTTAGTTTTTTTTGCCCACCCCTAGTTATATGTTGCCACAATTATTCAAACTTCCGGATGTTAGGTACTTATAAAATTCAAGATATTTATTTATCAGAAGCTGGCCGTGAAATGGTTCCTTCCTTTCGTGATTCATTTGCCAAATACATTTTCCTTACTCGTACTTAGGGATGTGATTCATTTGCCAAATACATATTCCTTACTAGTACTCGCGGGTATCTGCGGGTAAAATATGTTACGGATAATAAATGGATAGGCTAATTGGGTACCCGTGGATAATGGAGACGGATAATTTTTTTCTCGTTTATAAGCGGGGCGGGGGCGGGTATGATGATATTCATATCCGCGGTATTCGTTTAATAATATTTCTTAAATATTTTAATTATCCTTGTACTACATAACCTTAAAATTACACTCATTATTTTCTTACAAAAGTGAAGTTGATGAAGTTACTAACATGTGTTAAGTATGTTATAGAATTATGTTGGATGTAATTTTATTAATTTTCTAGCTTTGATTGAACCAATAAAATTTATGTATTATAAATTGTTTACTTTCGTTTGAAATTATGAGATTGAATTATTGTAGCTTTGTGATGAGACATTAACTTATTTGTGAGATTAATGTATTTTAAGTTATTGATTATCTTGCATTTTTATTATTATTTTAACAAAATTAATGTAAAAAATAAGTTCAAAATTGACATTAAATTTTTATTTTTAATATTTCAATGACATTAAATATAAACTTAAAATTATTTGTAATATATATTTTTTTTAATTTCTTAAAAAAATTATTAATATCCATGGATATTTATGAATATTCGTAGATATTCAAGAAATTCATAAATACCTGCTTAATGAATACCTGCGCGAATATGAGATAAATATGAGACCAATTTTCATTCAGCGGGACGGAAACGAGTTTACTATTATCCACTCCATGGGGCCCATTGCCATCCCTATCCGTACTACTATCAGTAATTGTTGGACAACGGTATGTTATGATGCCTATGTTAGTAGACGAGATAAATGCTTAACCCAAGTTGGCAAGCACCTAATGAGGAGAGGTTTTTATGTTTGGCGATTCCTTGCGTGCCCTTTGTGAGTAGAGGGTTTTAACGACCGGAAATACTGGATCAAGGTTTCATAGTGTTCTGTTGTACAAGATCTTCTTAGAGAGGCGAGTACAGAGCATACTTGCTTCAAGCATAATACTGAGATCATAATACTATCATAATATCAAAGGCTTTCGAAAGAGAGAAAGAAAAGTGATTTAGAAATCCATGAATAAAGAAAAACAAGAGGTTTTATTCCGAACTCTACTTGCTTACAGACTGAGAGAGTGCCTCCTTATATAGACTCGGAGGAGCTCTCAAGCGACTGACACCTTTTACACATGGGTCAATTCTTATTGGCTGGTTAAAAGATAAGCATGGAAAAGGACCCTCGTGGGTCTGACTCATATAAATCGACAAGCTAGTCTAACTAAAATGATAAGAACGAATAAAAAGAGGGACCCACATGGGTCTGATTCATACAAAATACAAACTAAAATACACACTTATTATACAACTGATGGCAGACATAATGCAGATGGTAGACAACTCATAAAGTAGATTCCTATCATTAGTCTCCTTTAATGATGGGCTCGTAAAGAAACACATATATAATTTTATCATAAAATTATTATTAAAATAAAGTAACATACTAGACTATCATAAAATTAAACTATCACCTTTATCAATATACTATACTATCATAAAATTAAAGTTGCATTAAAGAAATAAATTGCTCTTATTTTAAAGATACAATGAGCTACATTTTTCATAATAAAACATTTAAAAATTCTTAAGCATATATACATATGTTCAAAAGTACTGTTACAGTACACATATTGTGTTTTATTTCTTTTATATATCTCGAGTGAAAATCTACTTGTTTTATAAAACTCAAACTCCAATCAGGTACGACGATTTGGTTTAGAAATAGGTTTTGGAATCTGGGATTCAAATCATATATGGTTTTGGTTTCATGGTTGGTTAGAAAGATCCTTTGGTTCGAGAGTAAATGTGTAGGGAGAATTGAATTAATGAAATAATTGATTAGGTATTGAACACTTAAAATACTTGCGACCAAATAAGCAAGAACAGAAGTGATTATTGGTTAAGTCCATTGACTTAGGCGAGTATGAGTGCTCTATTACTATAATCTAAACAAGGGGAAAACGTGAGGGTTCTGGCCAGCCATTATATGTGCAATTTTTCAAAAACCCAACAAAGTAGTTTTCTCTACGTACGACATCATTCAAACACATTTCTAAAGTCGCAATATTCATTTATTAACATCCTAGATTAAAATACATACCTTTTCTTCCATGTTCGGTACCATTATCAAACATACATCTACCATAATATTACTAATTAACTACTTATTATTATTTTCATTCTGTCGTAGCTAGTATTACTAACTTTTAATTATGTTTTTAGTCTTTTCACTTATATATTCTTTTTCTTCAAAATTTAAACATGTATTTTTAGTCTTAAAATATAAATAATTGTTATTTTAGTCTCTCAAATTTAAAGTTTATTTTTTAAATTTTTTTAAAAATATTGTTTTTGTTACTAATATCATAATTGATAATAATAAATTGAGAGAGATGGAAGTAACAATTTTTTACATTTTCAGAACAAAAATACAAATTTTAAATTTGAGACATAAAAAATATTTTTTTTAGAATTATAGAAAAAAATTTAAAATTTGAAAAATTAAATATACTAATTAGACATTTAGCTCGTGTAGTTAATTTTTGGAGGATGTGTACTGTGCATATTAAATTGAAATGATTAGGTTTCTTTATGTAAATTCATCTAAAAGTATTTTTAGGAGATAAAAAAAAAAACTTTTCTATATAAAATTAATTCATGTACAAGTTAAATTATAAAAATTATTTCATTAACTTTTCTAACCAACCATGAAACCAAAACCATATATGATTTGAATCCCAGATTCCAAAACCTATTTCTAAACCAAATCGTCGTACCTGATTGGAGTTTGAGTTTTATAAAACAAGTAGATTTTCACTCGAGATATATAAAAGAAATAAAACACAATATGTGTACTGTAACAGTACTTTTGAACATATGTATATATGCTTAAGAATTTTTAAATGTTTTATTATGAAAAATGTAGCTCATTGTATCTTTAAAATAAGAGCAATTTATTTCTTTAATGCAACTTTAATTTTATGATAGTATAGTATATTGATAAAGGTGATAGTTTAATTTTATGATAGTCTAGTATGTTACTTTATTTTAATAATAATTTTATGATAAAATTATATATGTGTTTCTTTACGAGCCCATCATTAAAGGAGACTAATGATAGGAATCTACTTTATGAGTTGTCTACCATCTGCATTATGTCTGCCATCAGTTGTATAATAAGTGTGTATTTTAGTTTGTATTTTGTATGAATCAGACCCATGTGGGTCCAGTCCTAACGACCGGAAATACTGGATCAAGGTTTCATAGTGTTCTGTTGTACAAGATCTTCTTAGAGAGGCGAGTACAGAGCATACTTGCTTCAAGCATAATACTGAGATCATAATACTATCATAATATCAAAGGCTTTCGAAAGAGAGAAAGAAAAGTGATTTAGAAATCCATGAATAAAGAAAAACAAGAGGTTTTATTCCGAACTCTACTTGCTTACAGACTGAGAGAGTGCCTCCTTATATAGACTCGGAGGAGCTCTCAAGCGACTGACACCTTTTACACATGGGGCAATTCTTATTGGCTGGGGGTAAAATTTTATTAATTACTATAATAAAGTTGAACAAAAACTATATCTGAAGCCTTTTCATAAAATATTAGCATGCACAGTAGTATTTAAAATTGTTCTAACCTGTAATCGGTGGTGAGACGATATTCTGGCAAGATCGGTGAGCCTCTTCTGCTTTACGATCTTCGGGCAAGTTTGGTGAGCCTGTTCTGCTTGATACGTCGGCTGCTCGAAGATGGGGTTTGCATATGCAAAAGAGACTTTAATGCTTAAGTTAGTCTTTGTGGGTATGTAAGTGTCATATATATAATGCACATACCTTGATGCAGATTACAGCTTTTCCTATAAGTGATAATGGGATTGGTTACGATTTGATAAGATTGTGATCTTATCAGTTTATCTTATCGGTTGGGGATCGGTCCGACTTGATAAGTTGATGTGGTACAGATGTGAGTAGTACAAAAATAAAAGTGCAACTTAAAATTAAAAACTCATAATTAAAGTGTCTCAATATAAAGAAATAATATTTATCACCCAACAATCTGAAAATGACGAAGTATATATAAACTCTTTTACATATTGTATT